ATTTTTTTTCATTTGAAATATATCGTAGTCGTTTTTTGATTTTTTTTAATGTTTTTTTGCTATGAATTAAAATGTGTAGGTTCATTAAAAATTATGTTTTTAAAAATGTACCGTTCTATACAAGTATAGGTTCCTTGCGTTAATTGTAAAATTTGGTTGAATACATTATTTTACTCATCCATTTATCATGATCATGCTGTTGCCATCGCTTTTGCCTAAACTCACATCATAAATAGATTTAGTTAATTCTTAATGTTGACTGTTTATTTTCGAAGACCGTTGTCGAGGGGGGAAATATTAAATGATGTTTCAATTGTACTTTGTTAATTGCTGGACATTTATTGTCATGTTCTTATCTTAAATATATTTAAGGAATGACTAGATAGAATTTAGAATTAAATCATAAGGACTGACTGTTATAAGAAATAACATCAAAAATATGGTGCACACTGAATAATGGGTTATTTAAAAGTGTGCGCCACATTTCTGAGGTTATTTCAAATAGACAGAAAAAAACATTACAGTCAGTCCTTATAATTTAATTCTAAATTCTATTTTTAAGGAGTAAATCATGAAAAAACGTTGATGTCGTCACGGTCACATGACAAAATTATGTCTATGAGCTGATAGACAAAACATTTTCTGCCAATCAGAAGACGTGTTACCTCCAAAATTAAATTATAAGCATATAAAAAATAGAGTCTTTCTGGAAGCGGATTGTATTGTTTTAAAGTGTATTCCGTACTTACTACATTAAGTATATCTGAAACTATAAAATTACTGCCACACGACAAGTACATACTATGATATGCACTGCTGGTGAACTGTTAGTTTCCGAGATATATTCCACTACTTCAAAACTGGTATATATGAAGATTCCATATGAAAAAAAAATCCAGATAAAAACATTATATTTTTAGTTTAAGATTCTAACTCCAGGAGACCAAATTGAACATATATGAAAATAAGAGGATGTGGTATAATTGCCAATGAGGAAACTATTCAGTAGGGAACAGTAACGTGCATTTCAATAATTGTGACTAAAATCAAGCAGGTCCTTTTGAATCTTTTTCTTTTAATCTTCATATGTTGGCCTCAGACTTTTAATCCGACGTACAAACAAAATGTAGCACCGCTGACACGCTCTCCTTCAAAATGTTGAAACATATAATTATCTGTGCTCTTCAGAATTGAGTTTAAGGGTTTTTTTTAATTTAAAATCTTTGTCATATAATGAATAAGTAAATCTGTCTACAGACGGATATTCACAAGGACTTTACTTGTTTAAACAATTGACAGATCGAAAACCAAAAGCGCCGAATTAATAGAAATACAGAGAGTATGGTATGGACAATGGAATGAAAATCGTATGCTGATAACATATTATGCTACTTGTCAATGAATAGCAAATCTGATTATACCATTTACCGGATTATTTCGATGTTAGAACATATTGTACTTACTCTTTTTCAATCGATATAAGTCTGTTATTTCAAATAAAATTGAGAATGGAAATGGGGAATGTGTCAAAGAGACAACAACCCAACCACAGAGCAGACAACAGCCGAAGGCCACCAATGGGTCTTCAATGTAGCGAGAAACTCCCGCACCCGGAGGCGTCCTTCAGCTGGCCCCTAAACAAATATGTATACTAGTTCAGTGATAATGGACGTCATACTAAACTCCAAATTATACACAAGAAACCAAAATTAAAAATGATACAAGACTAACAAAGGCCAGAGGCTCCTGACTTGGGACAGGCGCAAAAATGCGGCGGGGTTAAACATGTTTTTTTAGATCTCAACCCTCCCCCTACACCTCTAGCAAATGTAGAAAAAACATACGTACAACAGTACGCACAGTAATACTCAGTTAAAGAGATTTCCGAGTCCGATGTCAGAATAGGAAACAAAAGAAAATAAACAAAATGACAATAATACATAAATAACAACAGACTACTAGCAGTTACTGACATGCCAGCTCCAGACCTCAATTAAACTGATTGAAAGATTATGTCTTCATCATATGAATAGGGGTTTAGTATTATACCATCATAAAATATATGAGAAGAACATAACCCGTGTCATGCCAACAACTGGTTTTAGAATAAATATGTTTAATTCCGATGCAAAGACCCTATAAGTGAATCAATATTAAAGCCAAAATATGCAATCTTTAATGACCTGATAACAGTATCGTAACTATATCCCTTCTTAATAAGTCTGTTTAAAGGTTTTGTTAGCTTTTCAGGTGAATACTGACATTTTTGTGCTTTGTTAAGAATGTTACCATACAAGATTGGATGTGAAATACCCGAACATATAAGATGTCTGCATGTTGAGTTATATTTACGAATGATGTCCTTATACCGATGATAAAATTTAGTAAATGTTTTGACTAGTTTATGATATCGAAAACCCTGGTGTTATACTGAAGTCGTCATTATTGAGAGCCAATATATCATCCAAATATCTAAAAGTATTGTTAAACTTTTGTATCAGATGTTGTTTCGATGGGTCAAACATAGAAATTGTCATCACATGTTAATTGCTACATTATTATACAGCATTCTATAATTATTTGAATAAGTAATTTGCATTAATAAATACTTAAACCATATTTAATCGATAAGGTGCAATAATTTTCTAAGTTTCCGTTTTGATTTCTCATGAGTTAGCAAAAATATCTAATATTTAAATGTTATTTGAAATGTGAACAATGTAGGATTCTAATTACAAAAAAATCGTTAATTTTAAAATTTAAGTATAGAAATGCTCTACAGGATACGACTTTCTACGCATTCAAAACTATTGGCAAATATCCAAAGAATTAGTTTTTAAGATCAACAATTTAGAATATAGTTATAAGTGCTTTCTACCAATTACACTGTAGGATTTCATGTTTTATTATTGTGAAGTATAAATGTAAACATGTTGTTATTAGGAGATCATAATATTGTTTTTTCACAGTTTAAAACAAAGAATTGATATAAATGTAAATACGTTCAACATTCCTGAAGCTTTGTAAGCGTGGCAGGATTTCGGATCGAACTCTTCTAAAAGAAGAATTTTTAAACAAATAAAATTATTCAAAATATGTCGAGGGTAAAGTGAATATGTTTGGTAATATCAGCCCTGCAATGTTATTGTTAGGTTTTAGATTTTCAAATATGTTGGCTTTGATCAACACTGAAGAGATATTAACAGTCGAAATCTGGTTCAGTAAAATTGGTACCGTTAATTTTATTAATAATTTCAAGAGTTCGTTATCTTCAAAATGACTGAAAATAAAACAATATATATCTCATATAATATGAAAAAAGTAGCTAAAATTACTGGATCCACAGTTGATAACAATGCCAATTTCAAATATAACGATACATTTAAAATCTTAAAGCAAAATGTAAAATACACTTTCGAATTTCATAAATGGCAGAAAATATTCCTGTCTAAATTTCTGTTTTACTTTCTGTTTTAATTCCAATTAATTACCACACATACCAAAGTTACTGTGTTGTAATTAAAATACAATGTATTGATTAGAACTATATAGATAAACAATAGCGTAATTCCTCACTAAAAGATTACATAATGTACATTCATACTAGGAAACTTATAGATCTACAGTTCCTATTACGTAATCGTACTGATTTGTTATTTAATGTCTAAAACACAATTTATTAAAATTTAGAAATATAAGCGATTCCTTACATCACCAAGAATATTACATAAACTAACATATGAATAATTGAAAGATTTGTTGGGTACTATACGGCAATGTGACAACAACCCAACACGCAAAATCAAATGAATCTAGAGGTCAACATAATTACGATCTTCAACAAAAGACAGGAGTCTATGTATGCAATGTCGCAAGTTCTGTACCGTCTCGGCATGGAGAAAAACTAAATAGAAATTCAAAGAACTGTTATCAATACCAAATTCTCCAATAATAAGGAAGAGATATGACATAGGACAACCATTGATGAGGTTCCTGTCTTCAGACTGGCACATGGACATGTCTGTCATAGGGTTAAAATATTCACTAGTGAAATTTCTGTTCTCAGCAAATGATTGGTCGAAATTTAATTATTACATTAATCTTTTTTTTATTTCTTCTGAATTTCCTATTGTGACGTCCTGAAAAAAGGCGACCATGCCTGATGACGTCACGTATAAAGAACACAACTTTCTGCAAATCTTTGAAAAGGAAGGATAAAAATCATTAGAGAAACAGAATCCAGCACTATAACTTGTGTATTACGATATTTCTCCACTCCCAACAGTTAGATTTAAATATTTAAAAAGCTCGGGAAGCCTCGCGCTTTAAATATTAAAATTTAACTGTCTCGAGTGGAGAAATATCGTAACACACTTGTTGCAGTGATGGAATCTATATTTCTCATTATCTGCAAGTTTGTTAAAACAATATTTTTCGATCAAGAATTTACCATGACGTCAAAATTTGGTAGCAATTTTGCACTTTTGAACACTATCGTCTAGACCGGTTCCTTTTTTAAATAGACAAGAAAATAAAATTAAGTTGTGGAATATTTATTAATGAACTTCATACTCAGTTCACTTATAAAAGAAAAACGATACCTAGAATGCAATCAAAAATCATTTAATAACATCGCAGAAAAATATAAAAAAATAAGATAACTAAAGATTTAGTAATAGGGTTAAAAGAATAATCTTTGTAAGTGTATAAGAATTCTATTTGTCGTTAAAGCGAAATAGTGAGTGTAAAAAGATTTATTCATATAGTAAAACTAAGAAGTTTTTAAGAAGCTGCTCGGGTTCTAACACAATCAGGCAAAGTTGACCTTACACGAATTTGACTATTCTTTTAAAGTCTTCTTTGGTCATATAACACCTAACGTTTCTGCGTATTTATACATCCCTAGCTTTCAAATGTCTGGTTTTAGCTTTCTTGATGAAGGTACATCCAGAAAATTGCTTCGGACCCATGAAATGTATAGAGTGTTATTTTTATTTCAGCCGTACGGACAAGGACCACCACCACAGCAGCCATACTATCAAGGACCACCTCCCCAATATGGACCACCCCCGGGACAATATGGTAAGTAAATGTTTTCATCTACGATCACGACGGTCCAAATAGTCTGAGTCATTCGACATTGCATTTAGAACATTGACACATAAAATCTCGATTTGTATAAAGAAAATGCTCTTGGTTATTATTTTCTCTAATTGTATTTATATTTGAAGAGGAAAAACTACTACTGTTATATATTTTTGAAATACAAGTACTTATGTTCCTATCAATTTTAAGAAAGTTTACTTGAACGGTCGAATATGATCTTATTTGTATTGCTCGTGATAACGAACTACAAGTCGTTATGAACGAACATGTCAAAGAAAAAGACGCATGGATTATGCAAAATACCCCATAAATATTTTGTAACGATCAACTACTGTTAACCAACGACTTTCGCGGTAGAAAAATAACGCGAATTTAAATCTTCGCGATTATGTTATACTTTCATCTTCCCTTATTTGAATCCATCAAGTAAATTTGAAAATCGCGAAACTAAATTGCCGCGAAGTGGTATAGAATGGACTAAAAGCGAAAAATTGTATCCGCGAAAATAAGTTGGTTTACAGTAATTCACGATGGCGACCGTCGAACTTATTAAGTAATCGCTTTTATTTTACACTTAGGGAAATTTGGTTTAGTAGCTGCCTTTTACATGTAAGAAATATCCATACAGCGATGAAATTTAGAAAAGAAATGTAGAATACACCAACTCCACTGAGATATATATATATTTATAGTAAATGAATGACAAAATATGGTTGACATACGGTAATGAATAATGTTTTGTAGGTGGATATATGCCTCCTCCTCAGCAGCAGCAACAACAGCAAACCACAGTTGTTGTACAAGGAGGACAACCACAAACAACTATCATCCAACAAAGAAAGGAAAGGTAATAACATGTGTATAGGGTTGAGGGTCAGCCAGGTGGTAAACAACTCTGATTTTTTTCTTTTTTTATTTATATATATATATATATATATATATATATACAGGTAACAAACATATGCAACTATTGACAAGCTAGCTGAAACACCATTTGGAATGAAAGCCAGTCGGCATCACTTTATCATGAGGCAATCTCCAATCTTCAATAATATTCACGAGATTGACCTGCGTTCTATGAAATGTTCTTGTCAACTATCAATTGTATGATTCTGTAAAAATAACTAATAACTAGTTTATTCTGCGATGTCAGGACGCATATTTATTAACAATGAAAATGAAATTTATTAAGGAAGAAGTGTTTTGGAAGAACCCATCAATAAAACAATGTGATAGTGAAAGAATATTTCTTTTATGAAACATCAGTACACTAAACATCGCGATTTTTTACATCGCGATGACCGTGAAGGCATTCCGATGTATTGTTGCCACAGAGATTTCCACTTACGTAACTTTCGTGTTTGACTGGTAACAGATCTATAAATACGCGGACATTATCGAGTGCAAAATAACATTCCTTGTCGCTTATTATAAGTTCATTTTTCAATGAATACTCATAAAAATATTGTTTTTAGAACATAAATTAATAATATGAAAATGTTTTGTCGTTAGAAATATATATACAAGTAAAAAATTATTAATATCTACGCACATGCACGTACAGAAAAATTGTGTTAACGCATGCGGAAGAATATCTCAAGAACGTTTTGCGGGAAAATATGAATGCCTGCTCAAATCCAATCTATTAGAAAAATCGAGTTATTACAGAAGAGTGTCCACCATGCACTTGCACTGCACTATTATCAGAATAGTAGAATAGAATGATATACAAATGGATAAAAATTATATATACATGTAACTGTTATATACAAATATTAATATAATATTACTACAATATTATAGTTATTACGGTGAGGTTGAATTCCCTGTCATTTATTCATCATCCACGCACGAACTTGTCTCAGAAAAAAATACATCTCTGTACATTAACCTCACTTTCAGGTATAGAGATGTGATTTACTTTCTGAGACAAGTGCTTGTGACCATTCACAAGAACTTGCGGTCATCCGATGTTCAGTACTTCAGTACTTTGATTACACTTAATATGCTAAAAAAAAATATGACGATGCTTCTCGGTTGACACTTTCCGTAAAAGAATTACAAAGGCATTAATAATATAAGAGTTCTTGTTAATACCGCAGACATACCAAAGTGAAATTTGATCATAAAATTATTGCATAACATCTATTTGTTTTTATAATTATTTATCATACATATATGCATTCACGTTTTCCAAAAGATGATCATAACTATAAATGGTCATACGGCTTCCGTAAACTGTTCTTGTCTTACATAATCCCGCTTGAATATAACTAGTTTGTTCTTTCTACTATTTATCATATATTAATGAAAGAAAAGTATTTTAACGCATGATGCCCGGTTTGTACCAAGGGTAGAGATGAAATGTAGGCATGGTCTTCGAAGCGTGTACATTGACACACAAATGTCCTTTTCAAGCTGTTGGGTTGCCTCATCATTGGTATACCCATATCTCTTTTTTATAAATAGTTCAACAATACACTATAATAATATTGTAATCATGATGATCTTCTTTATCATATATAATTGCTAATACTGTACTTATTCACGATACAAAACGATGGTAGGGGCAGAAGAACAAAATTTATTTAAAAAGCGGACAGCCTCTTCTATGGAAATTTTAACAGAGCATTAGAATTAAAATTGTCAGAGATATCAGTTGATTAATTTTCTTTATTCTTCAGGTTTGCAGACAAAATATGTTTGAACCTAATTTTGACTTGCTTTATTCCTTTTTGGCCAATTATATGGATAATAATGGTAAGAAATATATAATTTATTCAACTTATTATTCAACAATAAATCTACGTTTATGCCTTTGACCTGCAATGACATTGTGACGAAGAAATCACCAACATGAAGCATGAAAAAGATAAATTGAGAAAGTATCAACTTTAACCATTCGGTAGAAGAACTTGTAAACACAAGACGTTTTAATTTTTAATCTTCGTTGATTCGATGCTTGGTCAAACCTAAGTCTTTAAAATTGGTTTATGCTGCTACTCCGTGACATTTATGAGTAAGAAGAAAGACTGGTTGGTTAGGAATCAGAATAATGTGTCCGTGTATGCCACTTTGGTGTTGCCTTTTTGACATAGCATGTTAAAATACGACTTTACGTGCCGGTCTCCTACAAAAACAGAGTATATTAATGTCTTATTTGCAAAAAGTAAAATTTCAAAAATACCGAACTCCAAGGAAAATTCAAAACGAAAAGTCCCTAATCAAAATGGCAAAATCAAAAGCTCAAACACATCAAACGAATGGAAAACAACTGTCATATTCCTGACTTGGTACAGGCATTTCCTTATGTAGAAAATGGTGGATTAAACCTGGTTTTATAGCTAGCTAAACCTCTCACTTGTATGACAGTCATATAGCATTCCATTATATTGACAACAATGTGTAAGCAAAACAAACAGACATAATAGGTAAAAACGTCAAAATTGGGGTACAGCAGTCAACATTGTGTTGTAATCTCAATCACTATAAAAAAAAATAATCATCTAAACAAAGAAAAACAGAACGGCATCTAGCACTCTATAGACAAAGTACACAAGCAAAAATGAAAGACAAGAATACAAAAATGACCATACACAATAACGCAATGGCGGTATGTATAAATACCTAACCACACCAAAAGTATATACCAAAAAAAACGGACCAAACAGTAAAGGTTTAAATATACAAAGTCAAATAAAAAGAACAATATAACACGTTATTAAGATGATAAACAACGTTAGTACCTAGAATCTATACTTCAAAACCATCATGTATTATGTGTGAAGTTGATACGGAATATTTATCAACAGCTATCGTCATGAATATTTATTTCTTTTTTGCATCTGGACGAAATAAAGGTTTTGGCAATCATACCACACCTTCATAATAATCATTTTTATAATGAAAAGTAGCAAAATATTAAAAAAAAAAAAAAACAAACACATGTACAGGTTCAGTAAACTTTAAAAGTGATACAATGCAACAAGCATGCCATGTAATCCACGCATATGTCTCTGTGTAGTATATAATAACTATTCCACTTTCCTGGCTCATTAATTATCGCTAATTATACAGGGTTTATATGCTAAAAAATTTAATGCAGAGATGAAATTTCATTATACGACCATAAGTCGAAATGATAAGTTACATGTATCATCTTATATATAATTAAAAGTTCTTTAACCCCTTCGCCCCAATCCCGAATGTAGTCGTTATGGCAACCGCCATTCTTTGATGGCCCGTATGACCCGCCATACTTTTTTAGAATTGCCCTAGCTGAAATGTGTTGACAGCAGGGAGTTCAACCATGCAATTCATGGTCCATAAACTCTTCCCATATGTGTTTTTATGAAAATATGACAACTTTAATGCCCTTCTTAGAGTTCAAAATCGGAAAAATGTGAAAAGTAGCCAAAATCAGGTGGGGATGGGAGTCATTTGATGGCCACTACGTTAATGGTATGTATGGGCCGTATGTATTAACTATTATCCTAAATACATGCATAGGTGGTACAGCAACACAAGGAGGTATAATACGGAAAAAAAAATCTGGTCTGTAAAATCTAGGTCACTGTTTTGTCAGAAATCCGTAAAAACGGACATTTAGGCAGACTTGGCTTGCAAATAATAATTCCCCGGCAAGACGATCAAGTCACATTTACTTCCAGTCAGTATGGATGGACTGCTGTTACTGCAAGGTAATAATTGAATGACAAAGAAACACAGTTTGTTCAATGTTCACCTCTCAAGGTCGTTTTAAAATCGAAAAATAGATTGAAAATAACCATTTTTCAGTAGGGGTGGGTTCAAACCCACCCGAAAATATACCACCTCCCACCCTACCCCCCACTCCTTCCATCCGCCCCCAAATCTTAATACATAGTTTAATAGATAAGCATCAGTTACAGCATCAACAGTCAACTTATTTGCATATAATTTGCATATGTTTGCAAATTTTCGAAAATGCCTGATTTTCCAGAAATCTCTTTGGGTCGAATGAGTTAATAGAGATTTTCTTTAAGGTATATGATTATAATTCTTTGTCCGTGTTTAATTCTCAAAAAATTTGGAATTTTGCGCCACCGGTCACTTGGTCTATCATACAAACTACGATTTGACAAAATAAAGTTTTTAAAAAGTCTATCATTTTTGTTGATAATCCAATAATATATCAAAGCATGGAAATACAAAAAATAGTATTTAATTAAGTAGCACTTCACATTTAAATTAAGCAGTAGACAAAACATATTTTAAAAAATTAGCCTTCAAAAAGTAAACAAAGTGCTTTGTATCATCGATTTGATGAGTTATAAGATTGCTTATTAATTGATGTCAGAACTATATTTATTGACTCTTATTGGACTGTCTAAAGAAGAGAACCTATATTTATATCAAGCGGAGGACATTTTATCGAATCGATAGGACATTTAGCGTAAAACAATCAAACGTTCAATCACCAAAGTATAACCAATGTTAGCGCCAGATTTAAACCATTTTGGTGAAAATTGAAATTATCCATGTCCATTTTAGCGAAAGTAAAGAAAATTAATCCATTTTTCACATTTATAATATGAAATAGTGGACTGATATTTTTAAGGGCGAAATATTGAATGATTCATTCGAAAGCAACACTAAAATTTAATGTTTGCCTTCTTTTCACAATCAAACCAATGATCTCATATACACCATCTGTTTCTGAACTCAAATATTGCTAAACTGTTCTAGCTTTGAATTTGTATTCAAATGATCGTACATAATGGGAACTTTATATACCCCCTCTACAATATTGTTCATATAATTGCAATAAGCACTGTCCCATCTTTATTCTCTTTGTTCTAGTCTGGATTTCTTGGCCTTTTAATACTTTGTCGATCCGATACCGGGATCCGTCAAATATTGCATCATATTTTCTTTGGTTTGTTTTAAGAAAATATTCATTTCAATTTTATAATAGCCAAACCAAAATGAGTATTTTTCAACTTGGTATGTTTTTGCTTAAGCTTACATGGCTATAATATCATCACAGATAAATGTCGCGCTAAAATGTCTACAAGAAATTTTGAATTTTTCGCTAAAATGTCATGCGCCCTTCAGATCTCAAGGCCTGGACAACGGTCCGAGTAATTTTAATAATACCCTCATTCGATCATCTCTCGAGAAAAGCCTGAAGAGAGCACAGATTAATTCGAGTAACCTCCTTGAGAACCTTTTGCCACAACATTTACCAAGTCAACTACCCAATAAATGAGATTTATCATTTTCCCTTTTCCCATCATTCTGAAAGTGTCATAATGTTTGATATAAAAGACATTCAAATTGAACAATCAGAAATAAAAATTTCCCCCAGTGATTATTAAATGGCGAAAACTAATATTGGGCGATATTTCGGATTTTGATGAAAATTTGTATGCATTTAGAATTCGCTGAACTGCATCTGAATATCAGAAAATGATATATGTAGCATTTATATACTTCCGTAGATACTATCAATTAAAAAGTGTGAAAAATGTCTATAAATGTATAGAATTTACGTTAAAAGCGTAGAAATATCAGCATTTTTCACTTTAAATTGCGAGAAAAGAAGGTACCAGTTTTGTATAATCAAGTCCTTATTCAGTTTCAACCCAGATTCCTGAAACTTCACAGACAGATTGAAAATATGTTGATGTTGTGCACCTAATATTATAGTATAGAATTGTTTGATGATTCTAATTTGCATATTTTGCTTAACTTGATAACATTAAAAAAGATGGTACCAGTTTGGTGTAATTAATTCCTTCAGTTTCAACACAGATCCTAGAATGATTACACATACATTACAGAAGTGCACCACAATAACTTCAGCATTTAAAAAAGATGGCAAGATATTCTTTTTTCACCGAGATCTATGGAACTTCACATACAGTCTGCAAACCTATAGAGGTTGTACACCTTCCATATGAAGTTGTTGAAATATGTTTCTCCATTTTTACCTTTTATATTTCGTTATATTTAAGATATAAAATCAGGAATATCGCCCAATTACGTATACGTTGTATTTCCAGTTGTGGATATCCCGACTTTTTCACGTCTGGTTGTCAGACCCGTGCCGAAAGTCGTTCATTTGATTCTGTTTGATGCCAATCACCAATCCTTTATTCCGGTCAATCCACTTTGTAGAACCTATTGAATTGATGTATTGTTCTTGTTCTTTTTTCCTGAATTTTCAGTTAAAATTTGACACTGGACGTTCAGTAGCCAACAGGAATCAATCAATCAAATTTCCACATTCTTATAAATGTTCATGATATAATCCATTAATTTCAGCGAAATTTGAAATCGAAATTAATAAAATCAGGGCATACTATAGTTGCCCGAGATGACATTGTTTGTTTGTACAGTGAGTGGTTCTTTTTTGTCTTTTAATTCGTTTATTTTGCTTGCATAAATCGACAAAACAGCTTTTTATTAGTTTAGCAAGGTTCTTTGGTAATGTCATATATGATTAAGATAGTACACAAACAGACTTCAGAGAGACGGAGAAAAATGTGAAACAGATATTTTGGCACATATTAAACATTGGATAAATATATAGTCACATTTAGTTTAATTATTCAAAAAATGTATCTTTGTTTCTTTCTAGTGTATTGTGGAGTAACATGATTAGAAGAGGAGATTATATCAGTTTTGATGAATGATACCAAACTCAGTTATACATTGTATATATTATGTGTTTATCTTATTTATTTATTATATAACAAATATTAGCTTAGTATTTTTGTGTTTCCAATAAGCAGTCGTTTGACACATGTAATTAAACGTCCATTATATGAAAAAAATATTTAAAATTATATCTAGTCTATGCCTGGGGACGGGGCGTTCATTTTGCATTTCAGGTAGAACCGCTACGTATTCTATACCCTGATATTATCCACTTTACCCCCTTTCTTTATTGGCGGTCCAATTTCTCCCTTTCTCCGCCCTTCATTTCGATCGACCCTTTTTGCAAAACATATTTACTGGTTTTATTGTTGATTTGTTCTTGTTCGGAATGAACCACACGTGTTGACTAGGATAAAGTAATATATGTTCATGAACTTTTCCCATCTACAGTAAACCCCATGATTAAAATGGTCATCCGTTTGGTTGTGCTTGGTGTATAAATACCTAGCCAATGTTGAAACAACTCTGCTAGGGGTCAATATGGAGCCTGTTAAAAGGAAAAGTTTCTACCCCTGTCTTACATGCTCTCTTTTTCCTGTTGCAGTTGCAATTCCGAATCATGCTCTCATTCTCGTCAACCTGCTCTGCAAAACCTACTTATAGTAATTTTGTTCATGTACAGAATATGCAAGAAATATTTGTCACTGGATGTTAGGCAAACAACAGTAATCAATCAATCAAACATGTATAATTTTGTAAATGTTGAAACGCCGGTTTGCCATTAACCATGAATACACTCCCAATCTGCATCGCTGTATTTGATGCGCACTAACCCTGCTTTGATTTTCTAGTGTTAAATCGTTCTCTCACTAAGAATAAGCGACAAGCTACGCCACTGAAGCATACTTTGTGACGAACGACAAATTTGAAATCTCATTCGCATTTTGTCAATTTCAAAAATTCTAAATTCTCCTGGGAGCTTTGAACATGGCTTACCCAGTACAACTCAGCATTATAAAGTACCATACCAAATATCAATCCATTCCTTATTACAGAAGCTGAGTATAGTATTTACCCCAAAATTCCAGACTCATTTAATATAATTAATTTCAAAATATCGGAAAAACAGATAGTAACTACCCGGCAAACCTGAAAACTGCTTACACAGTTCAACTCAAATTTAGACAGGGTTAGACCAAATATCAGGCAATTCATTAATACAGAGGCTGAGTAATATGTAACGAAAATTTCTGACATAATGGCGGACAAGCTCATTGCAGTATACCTCCACTCCGTGAGTAGACCCTAGGGCTATAAAAATCAGTGTTTAGGCAACTGCTTTTCCCTTTTTCCCTAAATTGAAAGAAAGCCAAAGTGCTCAAAGTATATTTAGTAGTATAGGATGGAGATGTTATGAACAGTTAACTTTTCTTCTCTTTGCACAAGAACAGATTGAAATAATTAGTTCCTTTTTTCATAAAAAAAAAAAGATAAAAAGATCTTGTTTTTGGAAGGACAACCTATTTTTGGTAAAAAAAAAAACACTCATTAAACCAAGAAGTTCTGTGCAACTGGTCTGATCTTTTTATTAACAACACAATTGTTACGTTCGATGGGTGTAATGTATTTCACAGACAGTTGGCATTCCAATGGATGTTTTCTCCTTTTTCTCCCCGACTTGTTTCTATGTTCATTTTAGGCATACGTCATAGGGGGGCTTTTCAAGAGGAACGAAAAGATGCTAACATTATCGTTTTATTTGACGTTTCTCTAGTATAGATGATGTTCTTTCACTGAATACTAGTAATTCAGTTTAGCAAGTCAAAATGTTGATTGCACTTGTCCCATTTAACTTAAAATAAAGAATGCCATAGACACAGTAAAATCGGATCCATATTTTGACTTACATCTAGACTTTGACAGTAAAGGTTATTTGAGAATGTTACGACAACTGATTTCAAATTTCCATGGTCAACTTTTCATTCTAGCAGAACCTGCATGTTGTATTGAAAACAACGTTCAAACCTATGATTGCGTTGGATAAAAATCGCAATTTTTATACGTGTGCACGTAAAACAAATTTCTTGGTAGAGGGGTCTAAATACAGCACACACAACATTTTCCAAAAGACCAAAAAAGTGAAAAGAGTATATTTTAACAAAACGCATTTGACTAACAGGTCGAACAACGGATGTTCTTAAACCCTGCTGACTGCCATTGGCGATTGCCAAATAAATTGATCACCAGATGTAACAAAATGGATCTTCATATTAATTTAATACCAAACAGAAAACAATAAACTTGCGGAAAAGATGATATACCACAAACATGAGGTGCAAAAATTTGTACACCATATCCGGATTTCGACAATTAATGTCTCTTCAGTGATGTTAGGCATCGAAACGGTATCTGGAAGGCCATATAGTTTACCTCAATTTAGGATAGACTCTTGAATTTTAAAGAGTCGAAATAGGATGTACGAATCATATAAATCCGAAGGAAAATATAATACAAGCCCAAACGAAAAAATATAAACAAGTCTAAATTGAAAACAACGTTCAAACATATGATTGCGTTGGATAAAAACCGCAATTTGTATACGTGTGCACGTAAAACAAATTTCTTGGTAGAGGGGTCTAAATACAGCACACACAACATTTTCCAAAAGACCAAAAAAGTGAAAAGGTGTATATTTTAACAAAACGCATTTGACTAACAGGTCGAACAACGGATGTTCTTAAATCCTGTTGACTGCCATTGGCGATTGCCAAATAAATTGATCACCAGATGTAACAAAATGGATCTTAATATTAATTTAATACCAAACAGAAAACAATAAACTTGTGGAAAAGATGATATACCACAAACATGAGGTGCAAAAATTTGTACACCATATCCGGATTTCGACAATTAATGTCTCTTCAGTGATGTAAGGCATCGAAACGGTATCTGGAAGGCCATATAGTTTACCTCAATTTAGGATAGACTCTTGAATTTTAAAGAGTCGAAATAGGATGTACGGATCATATAAATCCGAAGGAAAATATAATACAAGCCCAAACGAAAAAATATAAACAAGTCTAAATTGAAAACAACGTTCAAACATATGATTGCGTTGGATAAAAACCGCAATTTTTATACGTGTGCACGTAAAACAAATTTCTTGGTAGAGGGGTCTAAATACAGCACACACAACATTTCCCAAAAGACCAAAAAAGTGAAAAAAGTATATTTTAACAAAACGCATTTGGCTTACAGGTCGAACAACGGATGTTCTTAAACCCTGCTGACTGCCATTGGCGATTGCCAAATAAATTGATCACCAGATGTAACAAAATGGATCTTAATATTAATTTAATACCAAACAGAAAACAATAAACTTGCGGAAAAGATCTTATACCACAAACATGAGGTGCAAAAATTTGTACACCATATCCGGATTTCGACAATTAATGTCTCTTCAGTGATGTTAGGGATTGAAACGGTATTTAGAAGGCCATATAATTTACCTCAATTTAGGATAAACTCTTGAATTTTAAAGAGTCGAAATAGGGTGTACGGATCATATAAACCCGAAGGAAAATATAATACAAGCCCAAACGAAAAAATATAAACAAGTCTAAATTGAAAACAACGTTCAAACATATGATTGCGTTGGATAAAAACCGCAATTTTTATACTTGTGCACGTAAAACAAATTTCTTGGTAGAGGGGTCTAAATACAGCACAAACAACATTTTCCAAAAGACCAAAAAAGTGAAAAGAGTATATTTTAACAAAACGCATTTGACTAACAGGTCGAACAACGGATGTTCTTAAACCCTGCTGACTGCCATTGGCGATTGCCAAATAAATTGATCTCAAGATGTAACAAAATGGATCTTAATATTAATTTAATACCAAACAGAAAACAATAAACTTGCGGAAAAGATGATATACCACAAACATGAGGTGCAAAAATTTGTACACCATATCCGGATTTCGACAATTAATGTCTCTTCAGTGATGTTAGGGATCGAAACGGTATTTGGAAGGCCATATAATTTACCTCAATTTAGGATAAACTCTTGAATTTTAAAGAGTCGAAATAGGATGAACGGATCATATAAACCCGAAGGAAAATATATTACAAGCCCAAACGAAAAAATATAAACAAGTCTAAATTGAAATCAACGTTCAAACATATGATTGCGTTGGATAAAAACCGCAATTTTTATACTTGTGCACGTTAAACAAATTTCTTGGTAGAGGGGTCTAAATACAGCACAAACAACATTTTCCAAAAGACCAAAAAAGTGAAAAGAGTATATTTTAACAAAACGCATTTGATTAACAGGTCGAACAACGGATGTTCTTAAACCCTGCTGACTGCCATTGACGATTGCCAAATAAATTGATCTCAAGATGTAACAAAATGGATCTTAATATTAATTTAATACCAAACAGAAAACAATAAACTTGCGGAAAAGATGATATACCACAAACATGAGGTGCAAAAATTTGTACACCATATCCGGATTTCGACAATTAATGTCTCTTCAGTGATGTAAGGGATCGAAACGGTATTTGGAAGGCCATATAATTTACCTCAATTTAGGATAAACTCTTGAATTTTAAAGAGTCGAAATAGGATGAACGGATCATATAAACCCGAAGGAAAATATATTACAAGCCCAAACGAAAAAATATAAACAAGTCTAAATTGAAATCAACGTTCAAACATATGATTGCGTTGGATAAAAACCGCAATTTTTATACTTGTGCACGTTAAACAAATTTCTTGGTAGAGGGGTCTAAATACAGCACAAACAACATTTTCCAAAAGACCAAAAAAGTGAAAAGAGTATATTTTAACAAAACGCATTTGATTAACAGGTCGAACAACGGATGTTCTTAAACCCTGCTGACTGCCATTGGCGATTGCCAAATAAATTGATCTCAAGATGTAACAAAATGGATCTTAATATTAATTTAATACCAAACAGAAAACAATAAACTTGCGGAAAAGATGATATACCACAAACATGAGGTGCAAAAATTTGTACACCATATCCGGATTTCGACAATTAATGTCTCTTCAGTGATGTAAGGGATCGAAACGGTATTTGG